CCTTGACTGCCCCAATTGTTGCCTCAGTTGGCCAATTTAACAACCTTAGTCATTTCCCACCAACCTAGCTCCAAGCAAGCAGTAGTCACACATACCAGAGCCTGAACAAACCTTATCTACGTAAGGCATCAGTAAGGGAACAGGTGGCTAGTTCCAGCCATCAGTACCAAGAGTGCAATGTAGAGCGAGGAACAGAGCAACTTGCTCTTTGTCCTTTTCCAGATGGCCAAAGTCAAGGAAGAAGCTTTTGCTTTCACAGAATCGCTTGATGGGAAAGAAGCAGGGTTTGGATTGTTTAAATGACTCTAACTCACTTGTGCTGATGTAACAGACAGCTTCTGCAAACTCCCAAGCATTATCTTTTTAAGGCCCTGGGGTCGTCACCAAGACCAAGTATCATGCCAGCTCTTATTTACCTTATATTTATGCAAGTCCTTTATTTTGAGAAAATTGTTTTCAGTATATACAGTGCGTATTCACTTTCCTTTGATATTTTATTTTCATTTTATATCACAATCACAGTCCTCCCCCTCTTCTCATCCCCCCTTTAGCTTCCCCTCAGCTCACCCCCATTTATTTCTCCCAAAGGGTAAGGGCTCCCATGGGGAGTCAATAAAGTCTAGCACATTAAATTGGGGCAGGACCAAGCATGGCATCCCATCATAGGGGATGGGCTCCATCAAATCATCTCACACACCAGGGATAGATCCTGGTCCTACTACTCGGGGTCCCTCAGATAGTTCAAGCTTCACTACTGCTTCTCACATGTGGAGGGCCAAGTTCAGCACCATGGAGGCTCTACAGTTGTCAGTCTAAAGTGTTGTGAGCCACAAGCATTATACAGTAGAAGTACAGCTGACAGATCACTAGGCAAACTCACAGGAGTAGTCAGGAACCTATTTGCAGAGCCTCGGGAACACCCGTCTTCCAAATAGTCACTGTCAATTCTGTAGAAATCTTGTGAAGCCATAGCCTTTCTCCTTTCCAAAGTGGGACTCATCTGAAACATCCCAGCAGTGTAAAGATCCTCCCGTAGACATGACTTTTCCTGTACTGGTGATTGGATGACCTTGCCTCCCACTGTGGGTCACTGGTGTGAAAGCATTCTCTCATTCAAACCTTTGTTCTCATAATCGGTCCACATAAAGCTAGCCCCATCCTTAACTAATCCTCCTGGCATCTACAGGGCAGCTTCACAGCCACACCTCCTCTGAGAACTGGTGCCAACGCTCTTTGTCAGTCTCTAATCCATCTTGTTAGCCCTAAGAAATACATGCTTGGTATCATTGGTTTGTTTTTTTTCCCCCCAGAGAATTGTTAACTATTCCATGTGAATGTTATAAACCGGAAACCTTGTGGGACTGTGAGGAACATCAAAGAGAAACACTGAAAGGGAAGAGCAATGAACAGCAAGGAACATTGCAGGGAACATTGAGAGAGCATTGGAGAGACCATGGGAAGAATAAATAAAACTTGATGAAAAGACTTGTGTGAGTTAACTTATTCACACTCAGGCCTTTTTAGTCAGTTTTTACCTGCTACAGTCCTGAATCCTGAGAGGTTTAGGAGTGTTGGCATCCCCATATAAACCTCAATACTAGAGTGTAGTAGGAGGACACACTTGTTGGTTCCCAGCTGCCTGGCTCGCTTAGACCTGAAATAATCACACAGAAACTGTATTAATTAAATCACTGCTTGGCCCATTAGCTCTAGATTCTTATTGTCTAACTCTTACATCTTAATTTGATCCATTTCTATTAATCTGTGCATCACCATGAGGTCGTGGCTGACCAGCAATCCAGTGCTGGTTCCATGGTGTCTCCCTGACTCTGCCTTCTTCACAGCATTCTATTTAGTTTTCCCCGCCTAGCTCTGTTCTGCCTTGCTATAGGTCCAAAGTAGTTTCTTTATTCATTAACCAATAAAAGCAACACATCGACAGAAGGACCTCCCACACCACTAGAGTTCATGGGTTTCCCTGAGCTTGGTTCAGCTGTCTCTGTAAATCTCTCCACCATGATCTTCATCTCCCTTGCTTGTATGGATTTTCAGAGCTCAGTCTGGTACTGTGTTGTGGATCTCTGTTTTAACCTTGATTTTTGAGATACTTCAGTTTACCATAGCCTCTAGCCTTTTGTTTTCTTGTATCCACTTTGTTTTTAAAGGATGGATGCTTAAACATATTTGTGGAATACACGATAAGGTTTTAATACATTTATATATTATATAATAATCAAATGAGTGCCACCTTCTTCAATAATTTTTTGCGGGAAAAACATTTAAAAATCTTCTAACTATTTAAAAATATCCAATATAATATAGTTAACTTGTTTTTGTTGTTATTATTATTTTCAACTTTTAAATTTTATTTTAAATTAAATAGTATTATTTTTAATACAAAAGTAAGGGAGTAGAACTCTGCTATAGATCATGGGCAGTGCATGTGCTGTGGCATGGACGAGGCTGGGGTTAAACCCCAGAGCCACTAAATAAAGAAATCTGCATAAGATTTTGATTTTGCTGTCCTGTGGAGGAAGGACTCTGGATACAGGATGACTCTCAGCTAAGAAGCCTGGCCTCTGTTATAACCAGGAGACTCTAGGCTCAGAGATCCATGTCTCAGGCCTCTCAGCAACAGCCAGGAACCAAGGAGATAGAGGTGCAAATGGGATTATTTTGTTAAGTGTAAGAAACACATACACACGCACTCACACACACACAAATGTGTACATGTATGCTTGGTTGGGGGGCTTCCATCTAATGCTACAGATGTTATTGCTTTTTGTCTCCATCTGGTAAAAAGACAAAGGACAGCTCTTGTGTTCTCCCAGAGCTGTTGCTTAGACAAGGACTTGGCATTTATTTAATAAAAGATGTGACTAAACTGTGTCCCCTATGGTTATTTCAATGCTTCAAACCTTATAACCCAAATAGGCTCTGACTCTAACGGAAAAAACAAAAACCAGGAAAAAAAATGAGAAAAATAACATCTGGGCCCATCTGTACTGTGCACAGCTTTTCTGGTCCCAGGATAACTCTCCATGTATACAAGTGTTGCCTTTCATGGTCTGGTGTCATCGTTTCTGAACAGGAATGGTAATTCTGTGCTGTCCACGCATAGAGTGCCAGGGAATGACCAAGTCTCTCCCATCTACAGAGAGAAGGAAGAACTCCGTCTTGCACACAAAGCTTTCTCTCTCCTGTAAATTTCGTGCCGTGGTAGAATTGCATTTGTTTTCGGTCAGATGCATCTTCTCCACACCTGGCAGGGATCTAGAACTGGAATTACAAGATTTATTTCATCTTAATTCTATTATGAGGCATTTAAGTCACAAATACCCCCAAAATGAAACGATCATTTATCATCTTGCCCTGACTGAGCACCTCTCCTCCGCTGACATTCATGAATCCGTAATGCCGAGAGGAGGTTGGATGATTAAGTGTCCGATTAGAGAAAACAGATTAACCTGGCAAACGTCATAAATTTAGCTCATAAGCAGGACGGCTTTATAAATGCGCACGCTAACTCTCCTGTATAAAATCTTACACCGCCTCCTTCTGTGATGGCTCAATTGGAACGGCTAAGGAAGAGATCCCAAAGGGCATATCTGATTCAGTTCATAACTAAAATGGAGCCTAGGAAGAAAAACACTAACTCACGAAGCGCACACCTTCTGTCTCTCACAGACTCTCATTTTCCCCGTCGCCACTTGAAGGTCCCAGATGCCTCTTTAAGGATGAGTTTCTATGCACTCTGTTTAGAAGGTGTCACAGCTAACCCTGAGCAGCAGGTCCAGGAGACTGACCCACAGCCATCTAAACAGAACCTGATCCCTTAATGACCGAGCAGCTGACTCCTAGATAGTTCTCCCGTGTGACCAACATGGAGGCCAGCAGCTAATAAGCTTTGCATGTTTGGGGGTGTCTTTGGGTTGAAGTTCCGTGTACACCAGTGCAAAAATCTCGGCTATGCCTCGTTTTAAGCAAAGTCCTGCGCAGCTGTCAGAAAAGCTCAGAGAGCAGTCTGCCCCTCCCCTCTTGGCTGGAGTTTCCCTGCAGTCTTTTAAGCCAGCACGGGGGAGGGGAGGGAGATCCTTGTCATCCACAGGTATATTTTTAGCCTCAATGACTGTTTTTCTTGAAGTCTGGTCCTGCCTGCTCTGCCTGGCCTAGGAAGGCAGAAGTCAAACTGAGTAAGGGACCTCTTCTGTTGAGATCCAGGACATCTTCGGGGCAGAGGAAGATGCCTCTTGTCCTTAATGAAGGCCAGTCCCATCCCATCCCAAGCCAGGTAATTTCCCACTTGGGAAAGCAGTACCCAAGGTCTAGGGGATGGAGGACCCCCTTTTCCCCTTTCTCCTTCTCTTCTCACAATGAAGTTGCTTTTGACATGTGGGTAGGGTCATGGCTAGCCTGTCCTTGCTGGCCTCTGGTCTCAAGGTCAGTTCAAGTAAGACTGCTTTGGGTGCATGCATGCAGGTGTGTATGAGTCACGGATATTCCTACAGTAACCCACTCTTTGTTGAGTCACAGATCTGGACATTTCTTTAGGATGCAGGCAGAGAGGACAAACCTTTGGCCCAAAAGGAATCCTTGTCCAGCTCTGTCCCTGTATCCCTTGTATCTAAAATAACTAGACCCAAACATTTCCGGGCTCCACACGACATATCATCCTTAAAACTGTAACACCCAGCAAGGCCAGAGCTTGATAGCACAAAAGTTTGTCACAGGAAGGTCCTGGTTGCTGAGAGGCTGAAACCAAGCAGGCACCAGGCTGGGGCTGATCTGTGAGCAGGTTTGTGTGTCTGCTCCAGCTGGCTTGGAGGGCCCACCGTGTTTGGCAGGCGGGCATCGAGGTAGGAGCAGGTGGGCGTGAGGGGACGACTAGCAGAAGGGATTGGCAGCCCAGAGCTTCAGTGTATGCCGAGGATTTTGAGAGTCCGGGCCTGCGGTATACACGGAGGATCTGGGGATTTCTGGCCTGCGGTGTGCACGGAAAATCCGGGGATCCCAGACTTGTGTCCTGTGCAGGGAATCTGGGAAGGGCTCAGGATTGGGGCGAGCGCGGAAGACCTGGCACTGGGAGCCTAAGACCCGCGGTGCAATGCAGGAGCCGAGCAGGCGCGCGCCAGGAACCCGCGGAGGGAGCAGGGGTTGGCGCAGGCGCTGGCGTTGACGCTGCGGGAGGGCGACTGTGGCCTAGGCGGTGGCCTTGGCCTCGGGTGGTGCGGATGAAGTCGCCCAGGGGCTGCTAGTGGCTCCGCAGCGAGGCCTGGGAGAGCCCGGGAAGCCCGCCGCTGCCTCCAGGGCCACAACACAAGCCAGCTTGAGCAGGGAGGTGCGTTGGGGGAGGGGAGGGAGGCGCTCTAGGCGCTAAGCAACCTTGTTTAGACCCTAGATCCCTAGGAAAGTTCAGAGGGGAGAGAGCACCTGACGTCCCGCATCCAGTCTCTGCTTTTTATAAATGGGAAGCAGGGGGATAAAAGAGACCTGCTTCCAAGTCGGGAAAACTGTTGAGAGGCAGAACAGAAATTGAAAACTCAAACCGCTTGGCAGGACCGATTTCTCAGCTCTCTTCTCACCTCGGTAGTGACAGTGACGACAAATAGGTCACAGTATTGTCTTAGGTCTTGGAACCGTCGGTGATATTATTCTTTGGCATTTACTACTATGATTATAACTCAGGTTCTGGAAAAACGTGAATAGGTCTCGAGTTCTCAGTTCCTTTTTTCATTTACTAGGTGGGTATTTGTGCCGGGCACTGTTCTAGAAACTGAACCTCTAGAGATAAACAAGAATCAGCCCTCAGTAAAGGAAAGCAGAGAAGGTCCCTAGACAACAGTTACAAAGGCAGGTTCAGGAAGGGGGTGGATGAGGTGGAAAAAATAGAGTGTACCAGGGAAATTCAGGAGGTATCATTATGGCACGCTGATAGATGATGGGGGCAGGGGAAGGCGTCAGAAGATGCATCCTGACTGGATCTAGTTAAAGGGAAGAGGCCAAGATTACTATGGAGGCAGCACTAGGGAGCCTAGGAAGATTCAAAGCCCAGTGTGGCTGTGCTATGCCTGAAGAATGGTTTGGGATGAACCTGTCTCCAAATGAAACCTGTCAGGTGCAGGTTAAATGCTGGTTTAAGGATCCGTGCTTCCCCAAGGTCTGAGTGTAAGGCATTCTAGACACACCTCTTCACAGAAGCCTCCCAGTGTGGCGCTGCTGTGGATGGAACTGGGAAACCATCCGAATCGAACTGGGAATCTCTTGGAGACTGGGAAGCCAGTGGAAAGGGAGTGATGGCGTTTCCCACTTCGGTAACATTCTTGGAAGTTCTCTTGGGGATCCATCCGACAAAACAGACAGCCTTGCAGACATCTGAACAGCACTCGTGAAATGTCCCTATACCCGTCTCTGCACAGGGCACTTGTTTTTTTTTTTTTTTGATGTGTCCCCAGATATATCTGACATTGTGCACTAAACAGAGCAGCCCGTTTTCGTAACTGAAAACTAAATCCCTTGTCCAAGATTGAGTGCCTATGTTCAAGTCAGTCTTCATTATACACCCCATGGTTCTGTTCAAGGGAGCTGTTGAGTAAATCTTCATAGCCCCTTGCCTAAGGTCTGATCCTGGAAACCACAGAGATGGTTAGCATCACCCGGAAAGGCTTCCAGGGCAGAAGAGACAAAGGGACTCCCAGCAAGGCTCCCTTGGTTCATATGTCTTTGTGCTTTTGAACCTTCTCCCTGCAATGAACCTCTGAGAGGTAGGAAAGTTGCAGTGATTTTTTTTTTTAGCAACATTTCCTCTGATTAATTATTAATTATATTCGATGGTGTAAAAGAGCATGAAATTGGCATAGGAAAACAGACTTGAAATTGAATTTCAGAGTTGTCACACCCTGCCTGCGTGACTTCAGGCCTGGCATGAACTCAGCTGGTCTCCCGAACGCTGTCACCATCCCAGTTCTTCGGCAGCCATCTTATAGTCCCACCGCTTTCCCTCGCATCATTTCCTTAAACCCCAAGAACCACCATTTATCCCCTAAGTTTTTAACGTTGTCATTTCGAGAACGTTACGGAGTGGACACAAAGAATGCAACCTTCTGATATTGTTTTGTATATTGTATTTTTATTTTTTTCCACTCGGCATAAGTCTCTGGAGGTTAATTCAGGTTTTGTTGACAAGTATTAGTTGTACATATTAAAAGTATTATATTTCTATATATGTGTAGAGTATACACCAGTTAAGGTCAGCCACTTCCTCCGGTACCAGTGAGTTCCGATCATTACTCTGCTTTCAAATAGACTTTTCAAGCATCAGCATGAAAAAGAATATGCAGAACTTGCCTTTTTTATGTCTGGCTTATTTCATTTATTTATTTTTTCTTGGACTGTGTTTTTGAAATCCCTTATATATCCTGGATGACAGCCCTTCCTTGCCAAACATATAGTTTACAGATATCCTCTCCATGCTGTGGGCTGTCTTTCCATGCCACTGCATGCTTAACTTAGTGTTTGGAAAGGTTTAGTTCTGTGTAATCTCACTTGTCTATATTTTTGTTGTTTACTATGCTTCGGGCAGTCCCATCCAGAAAATCATTAGCCATGTTTACATATTGAGTTACCTCCTGTGTTTTCTTCTATGACGTCTAGAGTTTCTGGTTTGCTATTAGGTCTTCGACCTACTTTGAGTTGATTTTTAGATAAACCTCCTATACATGAATGTGAGATTTAGGGATGCTCTCAGAAATTATTTCATTGGACAGATTTTCAGTGCCTTTACTTTTAATCTTTTCTGGTATTCCATCTGATATATAGATGATACAGATAGACAGAGACAGATATAGATACAGATACAGATAGATAGCCTTGAAATTCACATACTATTTCTTCCACCATGTCTAGTCAGTTGTTGAGGCTTTCAAGGGTTATATATTTTATTTGATGCATTGGCTTCCTTCTTTCCAACGTTTCTGTCTGGTTCTCCCTGCAGAATTCTCATTTATATCCTAAGTTGTCTGCCTAATTTCATTTAGCTGTTAATCTGTATTATTCAGGATCTCGTTTTGATTATCTTATAATCATTCCTTGAGATTCCATCCACTTTAATTTCTTAGGAATCTGTTGCTAGAGAATTACCACATTCTTTAGGAGATATTGTATTACTCCCTTTTCATATATTTGTGCTCCTACATTGAGATTTGCACGTTTGCTGGGTCAGATGCCTCTACCACCTTTCAGGGGTGACTTTGGTTAGTGGCTTTCTTCTGAAGTTGTGTCTTGGAGTGTCGGTTTGTTCTGCAGCGTTGACTTTGATTCTAGCTGATTTGATTAGAGTATTGTGGTGTAGTTTCACGATAACTTCCATGACTATGGCTTAAGAGTTTAGGCACAATACAGAGTGAAGCAGAGTCTTAGACCCATTCTCCCTATGTGCCCTGAGGGCAGAGATACTTTGACAGTTCTGAGGGGGGTAGCATCGATAGCAGAGGCCAGGGCACAGTCCTGTGTAGATCTACTTCTACTATTTTCTTGGTGGCCCCATCAGGTGTTGATGTTTCCATACAACTATTGATCTTCTGCCACTGGCAAGGAGCCAGGATTCTTACAGTGGGGTCCATTGGACTTCTGTTGGGGTGCTCCTGCCCAGTCTGAATAGCATTAAAGTCAGAATTGACCAGATGGCAGCCAGGCAGAGTGGGGTAGTAAGAACTCCAGTGTTTCTCTCTGCTGCTTCAATTACTTTCCCTGCCAATAAGTGAGACGAGGGGCAGAGTTGAGCCACATTTCTCTCAAGAGGTTCTATTTGACTGTGTATGACTGAGGCAGGAAGGACCTGGACCTATGGGATTTCCCAGGCCCCTGTATGCTTGAGAATCATGGAGATTCACTCCCCACATTATTCATAAGAGGTGCATGAATACAAGTCTTGGGGAAAGGGCCTTAGGTACTGTGTGACATCTCCCTTCAATCCTGACACTGGCCCTCGTCCATACATGGCTAACTATATCCTCAGAGAACAAATATGCTGGTCTCCAGGTGTTCAGAGGCAGCACCTTCCAATCTCCTCTGGTTATGGCTCCCAACCTGTACAGAGCAGGGTGAGCATCCAATAGGTTTAGCCACAGTTCCCCTGCTATGCTATGTTGGGTTCAAGGGGCAGCTATCTGCCAAGCCAGTGCTGGGGAGTGGTTGTATAATACAGGAGAAGAAAGTATGCAGGAGTGTTTCAATTCCTGAAAACATCAGCTCACTTTTCAAGATAGGTGGTGGCTACCCTACCCTGGGCCTTCCTTAGGGCCATGTGAGATCCATTTCCAAAGCCAGGCTTCTGTGCAGCACTTGGGCTACTAATCTAAATGGGCTGCAAACTGATTATTCGGTAGCTAGGATTATCAGCCTGCACATGGATGGAACCTCCTAGAACACTGTCTTTTACATCACTCCTCCAAAAGGAACACTCCCTTACCCATTCTGTAGAGTTGGGGTGGCAGAATCTGGGGTATTTTGTTCCTCTTACTGTTGTTGATGTTTTACTCTCTTGGGTTTTTTGACTTTTGGGGGGGGGCACCACCCAGTTCCCAAATAAATCACTCACGTGGAGGCCTATTCTTAGTTATGAATGCCTGACTTTAGCTTGGCTTGTTTCTAGTCAGATTTTCTTAAATTATCCCAACCACCTTTTGTCTCTGGGCTTTTATCTTTCTCTGTTTCTGTATACCTTTCTTTATTTCTTTCTCCATGGCTTGCTGTCTGGCCTCGGGTGTCCTCCTCTCCTTGTTCCCTTACTTTTCTTCTCCCTTGTTTCCCCTCTTATTTATCCTCTCTGCCTGCCAACCCTGCCTAGCCTCGCACTTGCTTTGCCGTTGGCCATTCAGCGCTTTATTAGACTATTATGGGATGTTTTTGGACACATCCAAAAGATGTGTAAAGAATCACAATCTCACAGAATTAAACAAAAGCAGTGTAAACAAAAGCAACACACCTTCAAATGATATTCCCCATCATCTTATTATGGCCCCATGTGTCTGAATTGTACTAGACTGCACCCTCAGTCCTGAGGATTCCCAGTACTCTCTGGTAGCCGTTGGCCTCTCAGTGAAGCTCTGCATGGGTTACTCAAGTTGTTCTTTGTGAAAGGGGGGTGAATACTGGGCATTTCCTCTGATTTATTTTATAAGACACTCTTACTTTTAAAATTACTTATTAATTTACTTTTTAAATTTAAGCCTCTGTGTGTGTGTGTGTGTGTGTGTGTGTGTGTGTGTGTGTGTGTGTACCTGTGTACCTGTGTGACGGTATAGGCCTATGACAATGTCCTGGGACTGAAGTCACAGTGAGCTGCCTGATGCATGTTCTGGGAACCAAACCCAGGTCTTTTTCAGAGCATCAAGTGCTCTTAACCAAAGCCATTTCTCCAGCCCCACGTAGTAAGCATTTCTATTCAGCCATCTTGAATGTTGGTTGCCATTCACCCACTGAAGGTCAGCGGAGCTGTTTGAAGCTATTAGGAATAAAGCCACTGTAAATATTTGCATACTAGTTTTGTTCAACATAAGTCTTCTTTGACTTCGTCCCTTGAGGTAGATGCTTAAATATAAAATTGCTGGATCATATCTTGGTAACAAGGTAAAAACGTAAAGCCATGGGTCATCTGTTTCCAGTGTCCCTGGATCATTTTGTCTTCCCCCTGGCAATGAACCACTGAGCCAGTGGCTCCTCGTCTTTGCCAGAGTTCGACATTACCTCTCTCTTCCATTTGAGCTGTGCTGGGGGACATGGAGTAACGCTCCATTGTAGCAGTAATGTGTATTTCTCTGATGGCTAGTGATGAATACGGCTTGTTTAAAATCTCTTTAATTTCTGAAATATGAAAGGTGCCTTCGTTTCTTCTGCTTACATCCTAATTGAACTGTTTGCCTTTCCACTGTTGAATTTTGAGAAATTTGTTTGTTCATTTATTACTCTTAATTATGTGTGTGAAGAGGTGGGGATGGGTTTATGCCCATGAGTGCACTGTCCACAGAGGCCAGAAGAGGGCATCAGATAACTTGGAGCTGGGGTTACAGGCGGTTCTGAGTCATCTGATGAGGATATTAGGAACTGAACTCAGGCTTCTCCAAGCAGCCCTTTCTCTGAAACCACTGAGCCACCTCTCCAGCTGCATCCTGGGAGGTCTACATGTGTTCTTGATGCTGTCTTCACTTTTGCACTGTGAATATTTTTAATTTTGAGGATAAACAGTTTATTGAGTTTTCCTTCTATGGATCATACTTTTGAGAGTAAATATAAGTACTCTACCAGCTTTTAACACCAAGGCTTTTTTTCCGTGTGTGTGTGTGTGTGTGTGTGTGTGTGTGTGTGTGAGAGAGAGAGAGAGAGAGAGAGAGAGAGAGAGAGAGAGACATGAGATCTAAGCTGAAGTCTATTAGTGGTGGTGGGCTAGCTTCCACTGGAGATACCTCAATTACCCCAGCACCAATTGCTGAAAATCTGTTGTGAGACCACAGCTAATTCTCATCAGTTGAAACTTTTTGCTGAGTTCACTTTTCTTTATTTGAAGAAACAACGGCTTTGAACCTGGACCTGCGAGCTGTTATTTCAGCTACACTGAAGTTCTGCGATCCCAGAAGGCACATTTAGGAAAACGGTAAGCTAATAGTACCTGAGGTTCCAGCCCGCACCCACTTGCTAGGATATGTCAGAGGTCAGTGTACGAACTCACACGCCCCTCACATGTGAGGATTCTTCTCTTAGCTTCTGGAGGTTTACTTCCATGGTTTGCTTGTTGGTCTGCCATCTGTTTTTATTAATTATGATAAGCTTTGTGTAGTAATCCGCTTGTACTTTATAAGTCAGGTTTCAGACCATATGTCAGAGAATGAAGAACATTAGATAATAAAGCTCTACCATGAAGTCACCCATTCCATAAAGTCATATAACATGTCTCAGAGACAGAACAGGGACCAAGTCACGTATGAAACATTGTCCAGTATAAAGCAGACAACAGTATGTATTGCCTACCTGTGTAGTTTCTGCCGGTTTTCTCAAGGTGTTTTTAAGAGTATGTAGTCCATTCACAAAGGATACTTTCCACAGTTTTTTGAGATAAATAAGTCATTCTACTTGTTATGTTCATCTTTGTTGTGGTGGCAGTTTGTGTTGTTGTTGTTTGGTTTTTCAAGACAGGGTTTCTCTGTATAGCCCCGGCTGTCCTGGAACTTACTCTGTGGACCAGGCTAACTCAGAGATCCATATGCCTGCCTTCTAAATGAGGCAACTGAGGCTCTGCCTGAGTGACCTGTATAGTAGCAGAACCTGCATGTGGCAAGTAGAATTCAGGGAGTTTTATCAAAAAGTTGGAGTTGAAAAGACAGCCTTTTATCTGTAAAATGGGCTAATAGCATAATAAACTCAAATAGAAATGAAGGTTTTTCAGTTCGATAGGGTTCATTGAGATGACGTTTTGTAAAGCTTGCTACATTTCCAAGTCTCCACCGTTCAAACGGGGATATTTAATTATTAATGGTAGTTATTAATAGACACTTGGCTAGAATAGGCTTTGATTTCCGCAGCTGTTGGGGGTTTGCTGATTTGTACTCATGGAAAATGTTTGTTTATATCATAGTCTAGCACCTGTTTTTCCTAGTAGTGACCAAATTGTGAACTTCCAAATTAAATAAGGCGCAAAAAAATTGAGAGGATGGCTAGACTTAATGCTTCATATAATGCCCTAGTAGTTATTTCTCAACAGAAGGACTATTACATGTGGCTGTGTTTCTGTGACAATGCGGTGAGTGAAGACGTCAACAGACAGCATGCACATACTCAGGGAAACACCCTCCAAATGTTAACTGTTGCTGGAAAAAACATCAGACTTCTAGAGAGCCATGAAAGACAGACAGAAAGGAAGGAAGGGAGAGAGAGAGAGAGAAAGGAAGGAAGAGTGTATTCCCAAGTCCTTAGCCTATGCTATTACAATCATAATTTAGGTGAGTTTGGAGTCCCTGGCACTTGCATTTCTTTGGTGGGGAGCCTGCAGAGCTGCACAAGGGGGGAACTGTGAGGAGCATCATTGTCGGGTAGAGGCTAAGCATGCATATGGCACACGTATTCTTCCTTTGATTGTGGATACGCACACGGCTTCCTCTTGCTGACTCATTCTATTTCTGTGAGTGCACAGAAAGTGTAACCTCTACAGAAGCCAGCTGTTAGATCCTATGTGCCTTCTAACGGGTATTGATTTAGAAGGAGAGAGTGCTGCCACCTTGGACATTCCAGGCCGTGTTCATCAATGCAGTGAGCTTCTCCACTTTGCAAACTGGCTGCTCTGCGGCAGACCACCTTGCACTGTCTCTGGAATCACAAGTGAAGCAGCAAGGGATGGGGTGGGGCGAGTTGTCATGGTTACAGTGACAAAAAGATGTCGCGGGTGGAAGCGAGAGTCTTAAACACGCTACCGTACAGAGCACATTCTGAACTTGGAAGAAGTGTTCCAGAGCCTGCACTGCACCTGAATGTCTGGCTTGACATCCATCTGGCTTGTAACTTGTCCCTGCTTAAAATAAATGGCAGAGTGAGTTTTGTGGTACAAGATAGCTCTTACATATTTTAATGTTCACAGTGCACAGCATCCACCCACACCCCTGATTCTTAGTTGTATTGTGCAGCATGTAGCCCCCTGAAAGAATTCTAATCTTAGACTCTTGACCTCTGACTTCTTTACACAAAGAAAGCAAGAGCAGACTAATACTTTCTAGTATTTTTAGTACATTTACATACAAAACAAACATACATTGGCTTTCTCTTTATTGTTCCTTCCTGCTCCAAAGAAGGCATGCTTCCATACTTAATACTACTGAAATTTTATGTAGAGGGAAGTTCTACAAACCGTGAATTCTAGACTTAAAGAATGGTCATGGTAAGGAAGCATTGTTGCAGAGAACTAGGTAAGAGCTCATTTGTGTTTGCATGCTAGCACAGACAGAATCATCCAAAGAAAACGCGCTGTGAGTCTTAGTCATTCCCCTGGGAGGTCATCTCCGGAATTTCCGTGTCCCTCTGCTAAAGTGGGAGGCTTCCTTGGACTCTCTTTCTGTGAGTTGTACTAGCAAGACCATTTCTGTGCCTGTCTTTGCAGATGGAGTTTAGTGACTGCTTCAGCCTGGCCCGTCCTCACAACCCTCGCCCAGGAGACTTGATTGAAGTGTTCCGCCCTGGCTATCAGCACTGGGCGCTGTACTTGGGTGATGGTTATGTTATCAACATTGCACCTATCGGTAAGATTTATTCCTAGGGGCCTCTGGGAGCTTTGTGGTTGTTTTGAAATGAAAAGGGATCATGAACAAAATCATAAAGCAGTTAAAATATAGAAACTAAGTCCAATGAATTTTGAAAATGATATTCAAAGACCAAGACATCATTTAAAAGATTCCACTGATATATAGCCAGGCAGTGGTGGAGCACGCCTTTAATCCCAGCACTCAGGGGGCAGAGGCAAGTGGATTTCTGTGAGTTCGAGGGCCAGGACAGCCTCCAAAGCTACACAGATAAATCCTGTCTCAAAAAAAAAAAGCCACAGACTAAATTACACAAAATTAAAAGAAACCCCTATATTTAAAAAAAATCCTACTTACAAATAAATGACTGAGGATGACATTGGCCGCAAATGTAGCTAAGTTCTATGCCCTTATGTCTCACACAAGTGGTGGTTTCAATTAACCTGGCAGCTATTAATAGGTTGTATAGTATGTGCCGAATGCCAGTGTAGGCACCGGGGCTACACAGTTGAATAGACAGCTCCAAGGCGGTGCTCACATTTTCACAGACAGAGGGGGAGAGCAAGAGCAAATTATAGACGTGTTAAGAAGGTTGTGGAAAAATAAATGGAGAAGGTGGTTTATGAAGCGCTGAATATGGGAAGATGGGAGGTAGGGTGGGGGAGGGGTGCTGCAATTAGGAGACTTCTGCAAGGAAGCAGGCAGGGAAGTGAAGCTTCAAAGAGATGAGAAAAGTAGTTCCCGGCGTACCTGGGAAATTGGTGCCTCTGAGGAGAGACAGGGATCACCATGATCCCAAGCCACAATTAGGCAAGTTTGGAAACACTTGACAAAAGAAGAGAACAGAAATTTCAACTTTGTGTTCACCTGCAGGTTAGAGACAAAGACACTGACTGATTTTGTGCCCATCTCATTAGAAAGGGATAAAATGACAGCACCCGGTGGAGACGGAGACAGTGAAATTAGTACAAGTGTATCGATGGAAACAGAGAGCGTTCCATCCACAAGACAGCTGAGCAGTATGCGTTAAGAGTCTTAGAAGATGTCTTAAGCTCTGTATCTAATTTTGCTTACGGGAGTCTGGGGAAACATTTAGACCTGTGGACAAATTTCATTTTTAATGGTTTAAAAACGAGACAAAAGCTTAATTTTCCATGGGAGAGGGGGACTGGCTGAGCACATTAGGAGTTAGCTGCTGGGTAATATTAGGTAACTGTGTTTGTTAGAATTCTCTAATGTATGTAACAGAAATAAGGCTATCACTAGCCTAAGCAAGCAAGCCAAGAGACAAGTCCATGGCTTCCTGGGAGGAGATGTCAGAAAGGGTGGAGCTGGCCTGAGAAGTTTCCAGGAATCTAGGTGTGTCTAGGAATGACAACAGTACATTAAGACCTTCAGATTTGGGAGTCGCTTCCCTTTCCTGGATGGTGGCATCATTCCCCTGATTTTGTCACAAACCGAGACTCGTGTACTTAGAGTTTCTGACTCAACAGGAAAGAGCTAATCTGTTCTCTGTTTGTTGGAGTTTAGAAATCATGGAGAATGACTCTTAATTGGTCCATTGTGAGCCGCAATGCCATTTCTGGAAAATATGATGTAGTACAGTGATTGGCTCTGATAGTCATCTGGGGGAAGAAACAGGCAATGGTGGACTGGGTACTAAAGTCACTATAATAGCCATTTTAAAAGCACATTTTTAGACTTATTTTTATTTTATTATTTATTTATTTATCTATTAAAGATTTCTGCCTCCTCCCCGCCACCGCCTCCCATTTCCCTCTCCCTACCCCGATCAAGTCCCCCTCCCTCATCAGCCCAAAGAGCAATCAGGGTTCCCTGCCCTGTGGGAAGTCCAAGGACCACCCACCTCCATCCAGGTCTAGTAAGGTGAGCATCCAAACTGCCTAGGCTCCCACAAAGCCAGTACGTGCAATAGGATCAGAAACCCCATTGCCATTGTTCTTGAGTTCTCAGTAGTCCTCATTGTCTGCTATGTTCAGCGAGTCCAGTTTTATCCCTTGCTTTGTTTAACTACTTAAGAAATAGTCTTAATATAGAATTTAAAAATTTCTAATTCAAGTACAATATGTGACATCATACCCCACTTACAAAGAATTCTATGTGCATTTGTGTATGCAACATCTGTTCCCGTACTTGGTGAACGTCTACCGTATTAACTGATGCCTGCTGTTCTGTTGGGGAGACCAGTAATTCCAAGAATATGATGGCCATGCCCAGCATGTAGGCACATAAAGGGAGAGACCAGGTCTTGGCACTAGACCAAGCCGTGAAGCATCATCTTAGTCTCTGTTACGGACAGGACAGGATTGGATACAAAGCTTCCTGGGCGTGTAGGGAATGCCTACCAATAGAGATATCTCTGATAAAGAGTCATGGAGGATTGTGCAGGCAGTGAAGACATAGCAGGGGACCCCATCTATGTGCAGTGTCTACTGAAGTTAGCTTTGGGTTTAGAACGTTAGTTTGCTGGTCAGACGAAATGACAGAAGAAAAGTGGGAATTTAGCTGCTTCCTCACAGGGCTGCAAGTGTTACAGCAGGAAATCTGGACTTTCATGAAAGCCCAGGAGAAAGCCGGTGTATAAAGAAGTGGGGTGTGCAGGGAGGTGGTTTTGTGAACATAGCATCATAATTAACCCCTGAGATCTGGAAGACTTGAGACGCTGAGAAGAAACAGGCACCATAGACAAATTGGGCAATAATCTTATCCATACCCTGCTAGAACGGTCTGCAAAGCTCTCTCATAATAATACCAGTCATTAGGGAACGTACTCCCCAAGACCAGGCAGGGAGTTTCCTGCCATTTCTTTTCTTGCTCATACAGCAAGAACAATCAATAACACAGAGCGCACAGCTGAGATCAGGCACTTTGGGTTCATTGCATGAGGAGCAGGGGTCAGTCTAAGTTCCGCAGCATCTCCTGCATTCTAGATGACACTGGTCATCTCTGTGGACTGGATCCCTTAGCCTCACTGACCGACATTCTCCCTACAGATGGCATTCCTTCAGCCTTTACAAGCGCAAAGTCTGTGTTCAGCACCAAGGCCTTAGTGAAAATGCAGCTTCTGAAGGACGTTGTGGGAAACGACACCTACAGAATAAATAACAAGTACGATACAACTCACCAACCTCTCCCCGTGGAGGAAGTGATGCAGCGCTCCGAGTTCGCCATTGGGCAGGAGGTGGCCTATGACTTACTGGTCAACAACTGCGAGCATTTTGTGACCTTGCTCCGCTATGGAGAAGGAGTGTCAGAACAGGTGAGGTTGTTTTCTTTTTAAGGCGGTACGAGAAGCTTCTTATGTTGAGAAAATCCTGCTAGGATAAAGTTCTTAGGGTTCCACCAAAAGGCAAACAAGAAGTAAATGTGGAAAGTGGGAAGACTGAAGGGAAGAGGACTCTGTTAAGAATACAGTTTGTGGACAGATTAAAACCTGTACATCTTGAAATTTGGTCTGGAAGGGACTTGAAGTAGAATCAAGTCCTGTCAATCTTATTGACTCCTCTTAGACACAGTTTCTCTATTACTCCCCATACAGCAATCTCAAATCAGCAACTCCATATATTGAAAATAATGTAGCCAAAAGGAAAGTGAATGGGGTTAATTTGTAGATTCTTCTCCAGTAAGGAATAGTGGTGACCAGTGACATGTCTTGATGGGTTGGTAAACGTCTCCTATTTCCTTATATGATTTGATGTAGATATCTGATCCCTGAGCTTCTAAACACTTCTGCTGTATTAACTGACTGCAGGGTAATGTGCAGTCTTGTGGATTTCCAGTACTGGTTTGCAGTATTGTAGCAGAGTCCCGGCAAAGAGAGCGTTCACCTCCCTCGCCTTTACCAGGCCCGTCCTCGGGTCAGAGCAGTTCCGTCTCTGAGGGTGTGACCCAAGTATTATTGAGGTGACGTAAGAGTAAAAGGCAGGCACTCTTTGTCCCAAACCCATACAAGTGTATTTTGCTTTAAACTTTAAAGAAGACCCAAAGAGTTGAAAGACTACTAACCTCCAGTAAGTTGCTTCTTAAAACGAAGATTAAGACTCAAAGTACAATACCAAAACTTGAGCACATTTTAATAACCTCAGCTTACTCAAGGCATCCTGTGTCTTGGACTAGCTATTAAACGACGTCCTAGAGAGTGAGGTTCACTTCCTCTCAGAACTAAGTTCAGAAAAGTAGGAGACAGAGCATGATGAAAGGGTGTGTGTGTTTTCCTTAGGAAAGAACTCATTAGCTGTGTGTTCCCATCAGGAAGTACATTAACAATAAATGCTCATTCAGATAATTATAATTATAATTATATATATATATATATATTTGAAACACAACACAGAGGCCACACTTAAATTCCTCTATGTCTTTAAGTTGAGAACACTCGTGCTGTTGTTAAGAAACAGATTCCATCTGTTTAATTGGCACTTATCTAGCTAAGTGGTATTATTTACCCTAATAAAGCATGTGTTATGCTTTGGATATATAGTGTCCCATGGAAGGTTTGCGTGTCATATTCTTCAGCTGGTTGCTGTTGGTGAGACAGAACCAGACTAAGGGGTCTTTGGTAATGATTAAGTTGTTCACTACATTAACCAATAATATTTATTCATGTGATTTCTACAAATAGGGAGGAGTAGTGGTCAAATAACACAAATTTCTGTTATATCAAAAAAAAATCAGTTCCAAAATCTACTCTGTAACATAGTCTCTATGGTTGACAAGCCTATGCTTTTATTATAAATTTATTTTTTATTTTTATTTGTGCCAAGAAGGTAGTTCTTAGGGTTAAATACTCTTGCAGCAACAACAGAGTCAAAAAAAGATAAGTCCACCAACCAACCAACTAAAATTCCAAACCAAAAGAACAGAATCATTGAAGACAGCTATAAGAAACCTGTGGAGATAATAGATTACTGTGTAGCCCTGATTATGATGACATTTACGGATGCAATCTTACCTCCAAAAATACCAACCTGTACATATTAAATGAATGTTTATAGCACTTCACCTGTAAATAATGCTTCAGTGATGTGAAAATGTGGTTAAATAAGAACAGATTACAATCATCTTGCTTTGCATTTGGTCTGAAATTTGCCCTCTGTTTACTTTTTATACCAAGACTCAAAACCCTGGGGCAATCATTTCCTCAACTAATAGTGGAAGCTGTCTCTAGCAGGTACTGGTTAAAATGGAGTAAGGGTATCCTGAGTGCCCCCACGCTACTGGCAGGAGCTAGTGTCCTAACTGTAGTCACTGGCTGGATGACGTCGAGCACACTGTACTTGCTTTTGACTGCACTCTCAAGTTACTTTCCTTTTAAGGATTATAGAGGTATGTGAAGCCGCTTGCTGAGCCGTATTACAAATCATTTGTCCAGTACATGTGTGCTATGCTTTAGATTTATAGCATGTCGCCAACGGCTCCTGTGGCATGTTTCACAGCTAGTGACCTTTGTCTTGAGAAACAATCAGATCAAAGTCTACTGTCTAATCAATGGATTCCTATGGCATTATTGGGAGGTGGTGGAAAGTAGGTGGGGCCTCGTTGGGAGAAGCATGTGGAGGGTGCCTCTGAAGGAGGCATCTTGTCTCCACCCTCTTCCATGTTTCCTTTATACCTGCCTGTCCCGAGGTGAGCTACTTTCCTCTGGTACCACCTAGCCTTACTGTTGAGTGGCCTTGAACTTAGAAATGTTTTCTTTAAAAAAAAAATACATAGAAATGATGAAAAGGGGAGAAAGACTATGATCCTGTTTAACTTTGGCACTGTTTTCTGTAGTTGTACAAAATCAGCAGGCAATCTTTAGAACAGTTTTTAGAGTTACAAGATTATCCCTGGCTGTAGAGCAGTCTCGCTGATGCCCACACATATGTCGCCTCCTCCACCAATGTCTCTATCACCCTAGACCTGGGCAGCTTTATTGGATTCTTTTTCATTGCGTACATGTCTTTATCTTTGTTGAATGTCACATAGTTAGAGATAGGTCACGTCTTGCCTTTTGGTGGTTGTATTATTTTTGCATTCCTATGAGAACTAAATGACATTTTCCATTATGTTATATCCTTGTCCATGTTTGGTGACATCATTTAAGCTATTCTGATAAACCTGCAAGTAGTCTGTATCTCATTGCCTTAATTTGCAGTTTCCTAACTGCATGTGATATTGAGTACCTTTTCATGTGTTTATTTTCTCTATGTGTATCTATTGTGATATATTGCTGCATATCATTTTGTCTATATTCAAATTTTGGTTTCTTCATTTTCCTATTGATTTTTAACATTTCTTTGTATATTTTGGATGGTCTTTAAACAAATTTCTCTTTTGTAAATGTTTTGTAAAATATGGCTTTTTCCCAATACTTTTCAAATTTTTTATAAGCAACATTTTGTTGTTATAATTCAAATAAGTCATTAAAATTGTCTGTCTCAATATAAGATGATCACACCCTTACGTAAGCCTAGACAAGTCATGTGTAAATACATCAGGCCTGTTCTTTAGTGCATCAGTGAGTCAATGAGTCTCAGAAAACAGACAAGATAAATCCTACGGGCATGTATGACCCGCTCTGCTGATGTGATACACAGCCTCAGATTCAGCCTGTTTCAGTGGGTTCCAGATGCTCAGAATGAGGACTTTATCATGACCTCAGACATAAAATCCTTAAAATCTTAGTTTCCAGGGTCAGGCTGATAAATTTAAAATCCTGAATAGGCCACGAAGTAAAAAGTCCCCGTATGTGTTGGTCCACCGGGACCACTGTGAGATGTTTAAATCCTGCAAGTCAGCTCCCATGCTATGTAACTTCTACAGATTGTCCTGGTTACGTGGGATTCTCCTATCTGGAATGAGACTTGAAGTAAAAGAGCATTTGGGACTTGAGGGAAAACATGCACTACACTATTGGGAGGGTCTTTGTCATAATGGCCTCTGTCCTGTGATCAAGTTGTATATTCCTTCTCTATGCCTCAGATATTTTTTTATTGAAAAATTTCTGCATTCTCCCCATCTCCCATTTTCCTCCCCCTCCGCCCACTTCTCTTCCCCTCCCTCTCCAATCTGAAGAGCAGTCAGAGTTCCCTGCCCTGTGGGAAGTCCAAGGTCTTCCCCCCTCCATCCAGGTCTAGGAAGGTGAGCATCCAAACAGGCTAGGCTCCCACAAAGCCAGTACATGCAGTAGCATCAAAACCCAGTGCCATTGTCCTTGGCTTCTCATCAACCCTCATTGTCCGCCATGTTCAGAGAGTCCGGTTTTATCCCATGCTTTTTCAGTCCCAGTCCAGCTGGCCTTGGTGAGCTTCCAATAGATCAGCCCCACTGTCTCAGTGGGTGGGTGCACCCCTCGCAGTCCTGACTTCCTTGCTCATGTTCTCCCTCCTTCTGCTCCTCATTTGGACCTTGGGAGCTCATTCTGGTGCTCCAATGTGGGTCTCTGTCTCTATCTCCATCCATCGCCAGATGAAGGTTCTATGGTGATATGCAAGATATTCATCAGTATGGCTATAGGATAGGGCCATTTCAGGTTCCCTCTCCTCAGCTGCCCAAGGAACTAGCTGGGGACATCTCCCTGGACACCTGGGAACCCCTCTATAGTCAAGTCTCTTGCCAACCCTAAAATGGTTCCCTTAATTAAGATATATACTTTCCTGCTCCCATATCCACCCTTCCTTTATCCCAACCATCCCATTCCCCCAAAGCTCTCCCCATCCTCTCTTTTCTCTCCCCATTTCCCCTTATCCCCATCCCACCCCACCCCCAAGTTCCCAATTTTTGCCTGTCTATGCCTCATATTTATGAGGTTTCTCCAGTATCTCAGGTTTCTAGAGGGTGAAATATGTCTAGTCAGTTTGGTTTGCATCTTGCTGGAGGTTACTCCAATCCCAGGATGCTACCATTTTCCCAGGGTTGGAACCCTCTGTCCTTTGACTCAATTTGATGCCTGTCATGCGCTCATGTTTTTCAGTTCCTTCCCCCATTTCCCTGGGTCAGACTTTCTGTGAGTTATGAGGATAGGATCTGATTTACAACCTTGATTTTGGCCTCACTCTTTCTTGTCCTTGGAGGTTTTCTATACACTACATTTATTTCCCTCTCTCTTTCTCTGGCTATGCCGCATGGTTACCTTTTGATATTTTCGGCAAATAATTAAGGTAATGATTATAAATTTTAGAAAAAATAAACATAAAACACCCAAGTAAGTAAAAGTGAAACAACAGAAGAAGATGAACTTTTTTTCAGGTAAGGCCAGGTTGTTTGCCTGACTCTTCTCTCCATGAACCGGGGACTAGACAGAGGCAAAGTCTTAATTTCATTCTGTTCTAATGGCCAGAAGCATCCTAGGGGAGGAAAGCCTTAGCTTACAGGTTGATGTCCAACACTGAGGAACGTCAGGGCAGGAAATCAAGCAGGTACTTTTGATCTGGCTTTTAAGGCAGTCCTGCATCGATGTGAGATAAAAGCTGGTGGAGAAAACCCGGTCCAGGGGGGACCAGTGGGATGGGGAATATTTGTAGCTACATTGCATGCTGTTCCACACAAGGTTATCTCAAATATAAGAAATTAGTTCACATCCAAAAAGTACAGCAATTCCTGATACCTGGCTTGTGGGTTGGTTTATACCTAGCTAGCTTTCTTATGCATCCCATGACCACCTGCTCAGAGAATAGGACCACCCACCATGGCCTGGGCCCTGCTACATCAATACCCCACAGACATGCCCACGGGCCAATCCGGTCTGGGCAATCTGTTGATAGACACTCTCTCCTCGGGAGATGATCAAGCTGTGTCAAGTTGGCAGTTAAACTGACTAGGAAAGACAAGGAGTCCCAGTTGTTGGCTTAGTCCCCTCTGACCACAGGCTAGCAGAACAGAGGAGACATGTGCTGTAAACGCAGGGAGCCTTCCACATGCCAGTTTGCCACAGGGAAGCAGCAGTGAGGGAGACAGTACAGAGTTTCAGAATAGGTAAGTGGAGGCTCTTACATTTAGAATGGTTAGACAGAGGGAGCTATCAACTGTGACCTTGACCGAGTTTCCAGATGTTAGACCAGTCCCCAGATATTTGAGAAAGGTATTTTGCTTTATTTGAAAGCCCTGACTCTTGAATTCTGGAGACTGCATGTTGTCTTCTAGGTCTGTGATGACTCCAAAGCATCTGAACATGACCTTTCAGTCATGAAACTGCTCTCAAGCCCATGAGGATGCAAGGCAAATATTAGCTAAGTGCCATGGAAACCATGAATATTCATTAGTTGCCCTCACCGTGATGATGATTAATACCGTAATGGCCATGAATGTCTGAACTCTTTTATGGACAACTCAGTTTGAGAATGGCTTATTCTGTCTATGTGAAAACCAATTCTGTCTATATCAAAAACCATGACAGTTGACTAATATTGACTCACCTTGAAGCATACTTAAGTTTCCTGGGAGAAAACACTGCCCCAAAGTACAATTTAAGGATTAGTGTTAAGGTTAGGGCGAAGAAAAGGGTTTGGTCAGCTTACAGGGGACAACTCATCATCACAAGAAGGTAGGGCAGGGACTCATGCATGTGCCGAGTCAAGCCATAGAAGAATGCTACACCCTGGCTGACTCTCCATGGCTAGCTCACCTTGCTTTCCTTTACAGCCCAGGACCTCCTGCCCAAGGGGGACACCTGCTGACAGTCAGCTGATCACTCCCACATCAATCATTAATCAAGACGGTGCCCCCCCCAAACCCACAGGCCGATCTGATGGAGACAATTCCTCTATCCATGTCCCCTCTTTCCAGGCGACTCCAATTGTGTCATCTTTACACAAACTGACCAGCACATGTGTTTACCAATAGATGTAGTAAGGAACTTATAGCTATTTAGCTCAGATCACGGTCCTGGGCTATTGGAGGAATAGGCATCACGCACTTGCATGTGCGAGTGTGCGTGCATATACCACACACACACACACACACACACCTTACTCTAGTACTGTGTAGAGGCTGCTGGAGGGAGAACATGCATCTGTGATGTTTTGACTTACATCTAAACTTGATAGTATGATCTTGAACAAAAGGACCATTTTCTTACAGCCTCCCGATTCTGCAGAAGAGCGTAGTACTCTTCTCTCTCACGAGGGGATTATGATGAGCAACCAGGACTCATGTTCATGACGAGTTTAGACACTGCCAAGTGCTCTAATAGTGTCTAATAAGGGTCAGGAATAGAAAACTATGTATGTTGGTATCTTTTGAATAATTAAAACAATTATAGCCAGGCCAGGGAGGTGCACACCTTTAATCCCAGCACTTGGGAGATGGAGGCAGGTGGATCTCTCTGAGTTCAAAGCCAGCCTGGTCTATAGAGTGAACTCCAAGGTAGCCAGAGATATGTACAGAAAAACCTAGTGTCAAAACAATATATATAATTTTATTCATTCCTTATTTTACCTTGGCACTGGACTTTAAATACATTCATTGCACATTAAAATAGATCTTTGGTTTACGGAACAAAGTAAAGCTTTTAGGGAACACTAACATCCTTAGAATAAAATCCTTCTTTTGTTTCTTGTTTCCTTTTAGGCCAACCGAGCAATAAGCACCATTGGATTGATGGCGGCTGCTATTGATATCTTCGCGTTCCTCGGCTTGTTTCCAAAGAAACAAAGAACAAAATATTAGCAATTTACTGAAGAGATTGGAATTGAAGGAATCTGTGAGGAGAAAGAAATTCTGGGGCGAATACTTATTTTGAACGCATCATAATTTCTCCCGGTCCCCATGATAGATGGCAGACTCTGTAATAAATTGCTTGCTGATTTTAATCTTATCATTGAGACAAGGAAAGTTTTTCCCCCCACTAGTATAGACTTGCTGTCGCAGCTTGAACAAAAAGCAGTTGCCTCTTGATGGAGCCAGTTGCGGAGCTTAACAAAACCAAGATCACATTTTATCTTCCACTGTAAATATTGTTTCGCTTTCCCCAAAGGACAGCCATTTTGCCAGAGGGGTGAAAGTTATTTGCATATGCTTCTGAAAGACAGCTGTCAAGGCCAACGTCTAAATTCATTTTCCTTTTCTTGTCAGAAAAAAAAAAAAAGGAAAGTGGATATTTCTAGTATTGGTTAGGCAACAACTCGAGAATCTCTGAATGACAAAGCATCTGATAATACCCCTATACTGCTATCCCTGTGGAGGTGTGAGCATGTAGGAAGAGAATTGGAAGGGCTTTTGTGTGTGCGTTGTTTGGGGTGCTTATAAACGGTGTGCATGTGTGGCGACAGTCGTGGGTGCCAGTCTTTGCTCTCTGAGACAGGGTATATTGCCCTTCACAACTTAGGACAGGCTGCCTAGCCCATTAGCTTCCTTAAAGTCTCTCGTCTTTACCCCTGTTTCAGTGTAGGAGATCTGGAATTACAGATGTACACTACCAAGCCAAGCTTCTATGGAAGCTGGGGATCTGAACTCAGGGCTTCAGGCTTATGAGTAAAATGCTTTCCCCATTAAGCTATCTCCTGGATTTCTGTAATGCTTACAGACCCAGTGGGTTCCCTAGAATCTACTTATTTGACAGGAATCAGTGATGGGCAATGGGTTGTATTTTTATTGAGTTAAATTGTTCCCTCTAGGTTGTATAGTAGCTCAGTGGCTTGATCTTTGAGCCTTGGCAAGTGATCATTAATACTGATGTAAAGTGCTATATTTGGGATACAAAATCCCATATCCCTTTAAAGACTTTTACTGTAAGCCAAGGAATCCCATTATTTTATGCTTTCGTTTTATTGATTATGTGTTGAATTAAACTAGCTTTAAATACCATGCCTGTGGAATTCTCGGTAGCAGCAAGTCCAGGAAAAGTGGAAGGTAAGTCTTTCTACACGAAGAAGATGCCAGGTCATCATAGCATTACACAGGCAGCCTGGCAGCCTGTTTGTACCTTCATTAAAAGCATGTCAGTCAATAAGGAAAATATGTCTGTAAACATGGGGATAGGATGTGATTGGAATACGGTAAAGTGACTCCATGGGACTCAATGGGAACCTCACACCTATGAAACTGGTTTTACCTTGGGGCTAGGAACACTCGAGCCAATGGAGGTGGGCAACAGTAATGGTTAACAGAGGAAGTGTGTGCTGCCATTCCAGCCCCAGAGACCCTCTGTCTCTTCTTTAAGTTTCCTTAACAGGCCCTTCTTATTCTAACCCCTAAACTCATTCTTTGCTTGGTCTTTTGGGAAAGCATGAGATCACTTTTATCCTGGGTGCAGGTCTCTGTTCCTGACTAGCAAAGCATGTGTCATTTCCTAGGATTGTCCTGTTAAGGTGAGGCCAGCTGCAACCACTGGGTTACTTTCTATTCCAACTTCTCAATAAAAGATCTTTAGGGAGGGAAAGCAAACTCATAGCAGAGCATTTGTCTTTGACAGAATTATTACACTTGAGGGAGTAGTAGAATCCACAACCAAAAGCCTCTTGGGACTTGAAGTCAAGCCTTTCTAGAGAAGGCTGTCATCTCTGCTGTGGGATAATGCTTTGTACGCTTGTAAAGATTTGTCACTTGTATATGTCTAATAAAATGGTGATTGACCAGTAGCCGTGCAGGAAGTATAGGTGGGACAACCAGACTAGGAGAATTCAGGGAAGAGGAAAGGCAGAGAGTCTGTCACCAGCCAGGTGTAGAGGACACAAGATGAGAATACCTCACTGAGAAAAGGTACTAAGCCACATGGCTAAACATAGATAAGCATTATGAGTTAATTTAAGTTGTAAGAGCTGGTCAAAAATAAGCCGGAGCTAATAGGCCAAACAGTTTATAATTAATATAAGCCTCTGTGTGTTTCTTTGGGACTGAATGACTGTGAGACATTTACACATCTCCACTCCAGAAGATAAGCAACACATTTTTTAAAAGAAAATGTCAGAAATTCACTTTTTAATTCATGGGTTAATTTCCTTCAGCAGTCTCAATTTGCCATGGAAATGGCCAGTCTTAGGATGAGCAGCTCAACGTAGCTGGCTTTGCTTTCCTGTAGGTACTCATTACCCATGGGATTAATGTGACTTGTGTTTGGACCAGCTTTTTTCCCTACACTATGATATGTGACTGGCATGCATTTAACAGTCTGTAATGGAAGTTCAACTCTATCACATTCCAAAAAATGAAATGTAATGATCACCTATAGCAGGTGATAGGTTGTTGGTAAGACTGAGAAGGAAAAGCCTATATTTTACTGAATGCATACATTTAACAAATAAAGTCTGCTATCTAAATGTCACACCATATCAACTGAATCTGTTCATTTCAAGAGTCAATTTACTGAGCCTGACTGTCAGCTAAAGGAAACTTTCACCTCTATAGCTTCAAGGATGCTTTACGTTTTTTTTTTAAATGATAAGCTAATGTGCTTTTAAAGACAGATTTATTTTGACTTTTATGTACAGTTGTGCACACACGTGCATCTGCAGAGACCAAAAGAAGCCTCAGTTAAACCCCCTGGAGCTGGAGCTACAAGAGGTTATTAACTGCTCAGTGTGATTGCTGGCCTCCAAAGTGCTCCTCAGCAGCGCTCAACTGCTGAGCATCTCTCCATCCCTAAAATCTTTTTAAAAGGACTTTTAATGTTGTTGTTTTTTGCTAGTCACTGTATCAGTTACTTCTCTCATTGTCATTATTAAATACCTGGCAGAAGCAACTAAAGAAAAGAGGGGCTTCCTTGGCTCAAAGTTTTGGAGGGATTTCAGTCCATCACATGGGAAGGTATGTGGGCAGAAGTGTGGAGCATCCGGCCACACTGTGTCCTCAGTCATGACATGGAAGAAAGGGACACAGGTGTTCAGCACTCTTTCTCCTTTTTATTCTATCGGGAACTAGGACCATGCCAATAAAAACTTTGGAGAAACATCTTCACAGACATACCAGAGATGTCTTCTCTATATGAATCTATTGGACTCTCTAAGTCCAATCAACTTGACAATGAAAATTAATTGTTACAGCCAATAAATCAGACAGATTTAAAATTTTCCTTCTCCAAAACGCTGTTAACATACAAAAAAAACCCTAAAAGCAAATGTATTATTTTTAGGTATGCACGTTGGTGCTGCTAGTTTGAGTAGCAGTGTCCACAATGCCATTTACATGCATTTAGCCATAGTTTGCTAAAATGTTGAAAACTAAAGATTTCAGAATGGTAAGCCAACAGCCATCTTATAGTGAATCCATACATTTTGTTTTTAAGATGATCAATGATGAGATCAGGGATGTTTGTAAAGTCAGATTTTGATACTTCTGTGTATTATTAATAATAATAAAGACAGGAACGTACTTTATGAAGTGAGAAACACATTTGAACAGTTTATTACTTTAGTCTACTTGGATCTGCCAAGTTCACTGGCCCCCATACAATAAACATTGGGAATGCACAGAGCTGGTGTAGTTTGCTTATATTTTAGCAGTGCCCACACCGTGCTTATAAATGATTAGCACTGATCTCTATAGTTCTCCACTTCCACAATCTCTGGCTTCCTATGTATTCAGGGTGGAATTCTTTCTTCTTCTTTTCCCTCTCTCTATTGAAGCCATACCAAAGATATAAAAGAAGGAGGAATTTGGCAATCCTGGGCCAAGACAGGTACAATAATGTGCTTCACAAATTAGCATAAAATTAAGGAAACTTAGCATCGATTAATGCATCAGCCAAACTTTCGAATACTAAATGCTTTGGTTTTTCTTCTCTCTTGATGTCCATACATCTAATGCCATTGCATGAGAGCTGTGCAGTTAAAGAGAAAGTTCAGTAGGATATAGTTTATTAAAACGGTGATCTGAGATGTGCAGGTGTTTCTCTCGCTAGTGAAGAATATAATGAAGGTAAGGTTCTTTGATGCAAGGCTCGATATATTGAAGTGCTCTGAATGCTTAGATGGAGAGAGAAGAGAAGGGTCTGCAGCTTTCACCTCTCCATGGTGTTCAGTTTGGAGGACAAAAGGTGATGATGCGGAACAAGCCTGACAGCTGCTCAGGTCATAGTCTGGTCCAAAAGTGTTGTTCTGAAGCTTGCCCAGCCAGCCTGAGTCTCCCTTTAGGGACCTGTTCAGGGCTTTCATAGGCTCTGTTGATGTAGAATCCATTTTTGCCATCGTCTGCATAATCTGTCCTGTTCATGGGAGGCCAGGTAGAGTCTTCTGCCAGCTTCCTCTGCAAGATCCTGTACTGGCTTTTTGAGTAGAATCCAAATTCTTTCTTTATCAACAGCCAGAGCTCTCTATTTTGAAGGATGGCATCCTGAAAAATTTGGGGAGAGGTGACAATGAAATCATTGTGGCTACGTAAGTGAGCCCCTCCCAGCCAGACAGCACTGGAAGTCTGGGTCGCAGGGCTTGCTCTCAGCTGAGCTCAATGCTGCTGCTGCTGCTGCTGTTTCCCCTGGGAGCTGAGATGTTTACAGGCACAGAAACCTGCTGAACACTAGAGGCCTGTGCTTTCTTGAGATTTCCTGGTGAAATCTCGGCTGGGGATTCATTTACAGTTCTTTCACTAGGGGGCTCAAACTAACAATAACACACCAAATATCAGGAAAACAAAACAGAAGAAGGAAGAGATGGGAAGAGAGAAAGGGAAAGGGAGTGGAGGGGACGGGAGGAAAACCAAAGAAACCAAAAACTGAGTTCCACCACCTTGTCACATACAAAGTAACAAATTTTGTTGGTTGAATGAATTAGTCTGTAGCAATCAAATGTTTTTCAAATTTATTTGTATTTATGCATGTGTGTGTGGTGGCTTGGAGGTATGTGTATGTGCCTACAAGTACTGGCTTTGTGGGAGCCTAGGCAGTTTGGATGCTCACCTTACTAGACCTGGATGGAGGTGGGTGGTCCTTGGACTTCCCATAGGGCAGGGAACCCTGATTGCTCTTTGGGCTGACAAGGGAGGGGGACTTGATTGGGGGAGGGGGAGGGAAATGGGAGGCGGAGGTGGGGAAGAGACAGAAATCTTTAATAAATAAAGAAAGAAAAAAAAGAGTCTGCAAAGGGCAGAGGGTATCAGATGAGCTGGAGCTGGAATTACCCAGGTGGTAAGTTGTCTGATAGGCTGTTGGGGCCAAAGTCAGGTCCTCTGCAAGAACAACAAGTACTCATAATCATTGAGTCTCTCTCCTCCCTCAGACTTGTTTTGCTTCTCATCCTTTTGAGTTCCCTTTTCTTCTTTCCTTATGCGATTTTTGCAAATCATACAATTAATCCAATTTTGTATTTTACTTTCTTTTGTTTACACTGATTTTCTGTCATAGACAACTCCTCTGTAATTATACCTTTTAAGACATTTTATCGTAGTTAAGGTTGTAGTTGTATTATCTTTAAAGACTACAGCATTTCTTCAAATTGCAGCACAAGCATTAAAACACACCATTTGAATTATATTTTGCTGTCGTAGATAACACTATTATGAATCTCTTCATACAAATTAGGATTTAAAGCTTTTCAGTCTCATTTAAAAATTTTGATATAAAGGTGGAATTCTGGTTGAAAGAGTACAAGAAATTTACACACACACCTACTTAATCTGATTAGTCTTTTCCCTCAAAGGATGTGCTAATAATTCGAGTCATCTCTCTCTCTCTCTCTCTCTCTCTCTCTCTCTCTCTCTTTAACTCCTTTTAAGAAACACCATCCAATCCTTTTACTGTCTGAATGAGTCATTCAGTGGTCCTGAGTAGAACTATGAGAGGTCCTCCACGGGTAACAGTTGATGACAATTCAAGTGGGTTTCCTTTCTCTCCCAATTAGAGGAGGCAGGCCCTCCTGAAGATGCTGTTTCTAAAG